CCGGGCAAAAGTGTCCTTGACTGCACAGCGAGCACCTTCATGTGCGCTCCGAAAGAAGGCAGCATCTTCGAAGCTCTCGCACACACGCGCGGGCGGACGGATGCCTACCCACCCGTCTTGCGAGCTACTACTGTACCCTTCCCCTGCAACCAACAATCACTTCGCTTCATGGTGACATCCACAACCTAACAACAACGAACAACACACGGCTGTCTACACAAACTGGCACCCACCACTCTTAAGACATGGGTTGGAAATAGTTAAGGGGGGAGAAGAGGGGACGGCGGCTCCGTTGTGACCCCCCCCCCCTCCCCCCCCCCCTGCGCCCCCTCCCTTGAACACGCATGCCGCCATCAAGCCAAGACTCTAGAAGGTCGCCGGGCTCGGGCACAGACAGACAGCAGCAGCAGAATCTCTCAAGAAATAAATTAAACACTTCGTACAAAAAGCAATCGGGCACACGCACGACACAATGCGTTCCACCCCCTTGCAACACATCACAGACGGTACGGGGCAACAATCCTGCCAACCCCACACCGGCCGACATCCGAACAGCCTTGTTGTATACATCCGCCGGTAAATTGAACAGGCGGGGACGGGTTGGTCACTCACAGTCGATCCCAACCCCAAGCCCTCACCTGGGAATGAAAAAATAAAAAAACGGGCCAAGAAAATAAACTTTATTCCCCCGGCTCGTTGGCCATTTGTCGAGAAGCACCCCCGCCGCCGCCCCGCGAGTCCGACACTCCCCATTCCCCGCCTCTACCGCTGCCGCCGCCGCCCGCCGCCTTGCTACGCTGCTGCAGCAACGTCGCCTTCGCTGTCGGGTTTGCGTTGCCGCCGCCTGCCGTCCTCCATCCCCGTTGCCCGGGTTGCCCTGACGCCGATCGCTCTAACGGCCGCACCATCGGGGGGGGCGTGTCCCCCGAGTGTAGCAGTAGTCCCCCCTCCCCCTCTCTCAACCCGCCGCCTTGCTCCAGCGTTCCCAAGAGCTCGCGGACGATCGGCGGCAGCGTTGGAGTCGGCGCCGCTTTCCGCATCGCATGCCCTCCTCCCGCCCCCACCCCCGCCGGAGCTCCCCGCCCACCCGACGAGGATCTAGACACGGACGCTTCCGAATCTGTTCGCCCTCCGCTTTCGCTGCTGCCGCTGCCGCCCCTCTCGCCGCCGCCGCCGCTACTGCTACTGCTGCCACTGGTCGCAGCACCGAAACCGGTGCCCGCGATGCCGTCCCCCATGCTACGCAGCCGGGCGTGCCCGACCGGGCCGGAGCCCAGCCTCTCTTCCTCCGCCTGGAGGTGGTGGTTGTGGTGGTTGTGGTGGCTGTGGTGGTGGTGGTGGTAATGTTGCATCGGCACCGCGCTCGAGCACCGCCCAGGCGAAGAGCCTCTGCCGGGCCGCCTCGGTTTGTCCGGGGATACGGGGGGTGACCTCCCGGCGTGGGGCATGGAAGCTCTTCTAACCAGACCCGTCCCCGGCGCGCCACCACCAGCCACCTGATAAACGCCGCCACCCGTGCCACCCCCCGCCGCCGTTGCACCTGCCACTGCCGACGCCACCGCTCCCGCCGCCGACGGCTTCGCGCTCCCGCCGCCCTCGGGGGGAGGCATAGCGCTGCTATAGCTGCCGCTGCTGCTCTCCGTGTACATCCGCCGGCGCGTGGGGGTGCGCTTGCTATTCGCCGCCGCGACGCCCCCCGGGCCGTACCGTGGAGACGGCGGCCGCAAGGTCCCCGAGGGAGCGGTGCCAAACGCCGCCAGCGGGTCGCCGCCGCCGCCGCGGCCGCCGAAGGCGTGCGACCGCTGCATCAGCTCCGGCAGCGTCGCGCTGCTGCACCGGCGCATGCGCGTCATGAACGGGGCCCGGCCCATGGCTTCCAGCGGGATGTCGTTGTCCTCGCCGCTGCCCGAGCTTCCGGTGCCGTCCCCGCCCCTCACCGCCGACACCCGCCAGTCCCGCAGGAGGTACTCGTGCGCGACGAGCTGGTGGGACGTCGGGCGTCGCCCTGCCTCCCACGTGAAGCACGACAGGAGGAACTCCCGCAGGGCCGGCGACAGGTCCTCCGGGAGGGGCGGTGGCCCCGGGTTCTCGCTGAAGTGCTCGATAATCTCGACCGGGTGCTTGAACGTGTCCGCCCACGGCGGGCGCGTCGTGACCATCTCGAGCACGGCGCAGCCCAGGGACCACACGTCCACCCGCTTGCCGCACTTGCGCTTGAGGAGCATCTCCGGCGCCATGAAGAGCGGGGTGCCCTTCATGGACATCTCCACCCCGTCGCCGTTGTCGTCCTTGAGAACCAGCGCGCAGCCAAAGTCCGCCAGCTGTAAACGACGCGGAAAAGGACAAATCAATTCAAAGAGCACAATACACGATACCCGACGTTGAAAACGGTGAGGGTCATCATCGCGGCCATGTTCCGCACCCTCGTGGCCTTTTGACGAGAGCGCCATCGCGGCTACCTTTCCCGACCCCGGCTGGTGGGATCTCGTTTCATGGCCGGAAAAAAAAAAAAAAATCCAACAAGAAGAGGTGGAGATTTTCGGTGCCCAACGCTTCGAGGGCAAAGAGAAAGGAGGCGTCCTACATACATTGCAGTCAAACACGCCGGACGAGACACTACCGCAGCAGGGAGGGAGCAAAAACAGCAGCAGTCGGCGATGGCACCCTCTCCATCAAAACCATAGAAAGAGTTACGTTTGCATCTCAAGGACACCTTTCCCGGGCCACCCCCCCCCCCCACCCCCCTCCCCCCGCCCACCGTTCACACCGACCGAAGCGCCCACCTTCACGTTTCCCCTGTCGTCCACGAGAATATTCTTCGACTTGACGTCTCTGTGAATCACGCGATTCGCGTGCAGGTACACGAGGCCCTCCAGCACCTGCCGCGTGTACTTGCGCGTCATCGCGTCGCTGAGGGCTCCAAACTGTCCGAGCAGAGAGTGCAGCGATCCCGCGGGCACCCACTCCTGAAAGATGCAAAGCTTCCGCTTGCTGTCCTGCAGCTCCGCGCCCAGGTAGCCCACGATGTGAGGGTGGACAAGCTTGTGCATCACCTGTCGCGTGAATCGCGCGCGCGCGCGGGGGGTGGGGGTGGGGATGGGGGGGTGAGGGGCGGGTCAGCAGCGTTGGCAGACTTTTTCGGTCAACGTGTTGGATAAAAAATGCAATCGGGGAGGTTGGGCTAAGGTTTGATGTTGTTACTGCAAAACGACCCCAGGGGAACGGTACACCGGTAGACCGGGAGAGGCGGGGTCGGGGATTAAAGGGATGAGGAAGAGGATGAGGGCTCTGAGCGTTTCGGTATCCTTTGGGCGCAAAATTTCGCGGCTGCTGTGAGCATGAACAATGCCATGCATGCCTGCAACGGCGCTGCTGCAGCCATCCACATGTGCAATACAGCAGATTCAAGTGTCAGTACTGATAGTACTTCTGCGCACAGACAACAGCGAGCCCAAATTTGTTACCGTACGGATTTGGGATTTCAAGAGGGTGTGTTATCGAAACAACGACAACCTTTTCTTGAATTATGGCATTCAAAACGCGGCGTGAATCAAACAAGACGCAAACGTTTGGCCTACATGTGTTCAGCGCATGCATGTGGCGCATTTGAACTGTCTACACATCACGGAGAGCATTGCGTTCACGCTTAAATCCGCGGTCGTTGTTCGTGGAACAACAGCAGTCTCGCAGTGGCGCCAGGATGGTGCGAGAAAGAGGAGAGCACAGGTGTAACACTTGGTACACACTACCCATGGGTTTGTGTTGTCGACGCAAACTGTCACGTATCGTTTGGGCCCTAGAGAAACGCCCAAACTAGCTAAATAGCCATCATCAGGCGGGTGCTGCTTTCACAAGCGACGCAGATACTTCAAAATGAAAGACAATAAAAGACAACACTGCTACTGCTGTCCGTGTGCGCGCGTTCGTTCTATACAATAGGGTCGCGTTCGACTTCAAACAAATCAGTACCATACACCAGGCAGTCTGCTTGTTGTTGTTTATGTCTTTACACCCTAAAAATCGTCCCAGTCTCCCTCCGCTCAGTACCTTATGCTGCTATGCCATCGGTGTTAAAACAACTGACGCTGACGCCGCCGTGGTGACCACAGGCGGGGCCAACCATCCCAAAACACACCCTCTGTTCGTCTATGATATCTATTCATATAGTAGAAATCTATTTACCACACGGGCGCTGGAAGCTGCTGCTGATGGTTGATCCAACAGCTACGGTACAGCAGCACAACAAATAATACAGGCCAAGCAAGACACTCAGGGATAGCTTCGGCATGCGCAACCAACACACCTACCTATACACACGCCGCAGCGAGGTGCGATCGTATGCTAAATACGAAAATCTGTGCTTGCGTTGCAGTAACAGCGGTGGGAACCAGGGGTGGCAGCATCAAAGCCCCGGCCCGATTTTTGTGCCCGAGAAAAATGATGCCACACGAAGCCACGTATTATATACATCTTGCACAGAGAGAGCGGGCGAGTAAAAAAAGTCACCTCCACAAAATCGCCAAAATAATATTTGAAATGAGAGGCACAAGCGCCGGTTTCCGGACGTTTGTTGTTCGTGCATGGCGGGTGGCCGAATGTGTATGATGTAATACCTGGATCTCATTGTAGAGGCTCGTGAGCAGCCTGTCCTTCGTCTCCAGCGTGATCTCCTTGACCGCCATGAGCTCCCCGGTGTCCTCGTTCATCCCCAGGTAGACGTTCCCGCAGCTGCCGACCCCGATCGGCTTCCCCTTCTTCCAGTGCCCTTTCTTCACGCGGCCCTGCTGGGGGTGAAATTGTTGTTGCTGCTGCTGCTGTTGCTGCTGTTGGTGGTGGTGGTGATGTTCTCCCTTCCCTGCCCCCGCCGACGACAGCCCGAACGGGCTCGCGAGCCGCACGGTCGGGCTCGCGAAGCCCCCGCTCTCCGAGTGCGTCGAGTAGCTGGAAGGGGGCGAGGCCGGCCCGGTGCCTATCTTCCCCGGCGCGACGAACAGCGCGTGCGCGCGTGAGGGTCTGCCCCCCAGCGACCGCGGTCGCCCGCCCGGTTCCGAGCAGAAAGTGCGAGAGTGCAAGAGCTCGCTATTATTGTTGTTGCGCCCGCCGCTGCTCGCGGCGGCGCTGCCGCCGCCCGCGCGGCCGTCGGCGGGGATGGCCGGCCCGCCCTCCTCCCCCAGCGCGAGCACGCTCAGGTCCAGGCGCTCGAGGTCTACGCGCAGGACCGGGGAATCCGGCGATGCAACGCGGGGCTTATTTTGGTGGCTTAACGCGATATTGGTGTTATTGCTGCTGCTGCCGCCCTTGCTGTTCCCATTTCGCGCGCTTCCTCCGCCGCCCCACGTCGAGTCCCCGGCTCCACTACTATTGCTCTTCCCCGCGGGCGCCCGCAGCTCGCCGCCATCGACACCGGCGAAGGTACCGCCGCCGGAGGAGCCCCCGTGGTGGCCCCGGGTGCGCGAGGGCTTCATCGCGCCGCCGCCGCTGCCCCCGACGGTGTGCACAGGCGACCACTGCTGCCGAGGCGTTGCGTCATCGTCGCCAATGTCGTAGAGAGACGGTGAAGGGGGAGGGTTGGTGTTCGCGCTGCCGGGAGGGCTCGCGGATCCCTCGTGAACTCCTACTCCCGCCGCCACCACATCTGCCCTTCCGCCCTCCGGCCCCATCAGCCTCATGTGCGCGCGTCGCTCCGTTGCTACCTATCGTTCCTGCCGTGCTGGAGCGGACCCGTGTCCTGCCCAAAAAACAGTAGTAGCGCTCCCCCCTTCCTCTCTTCCTCCAGTTGGGGTCTAGATCGACTTTTGCTTGTTTATTCCCGCGAAGCTCCACGACGACAAAACCAAGCACACGCGCCCCGTGTGTCTGTGCCTCTCGTCTCCGGCCGCCGGTGTGTGAGAGCACGGGAGTCGTGCGGGCACACACGGTAACAAGAGAGACAGAGAGAGAGAGAGAGAGAGAGAGAGAGAGAGCTGGCACGGAGGGTATTAGTGTTGTATGAAAGGGAGTCTCTCGGCGGAAGGAGGTGGAAAGAGAAAAGAAAAAAAAAGAGAAGAAGCGGCGCGGGCGAAACTAAATCGAGAAAAAAAAAATATATATAGGCAAAACATCCATTTTGATGCAAATTGTTTGCTCGCTGCTGCACGTTGGGATCAGCAAGTAGTTTGTCGTGCAACGGGGACGAGACTGCTAGCTCCATACTCCATACGGACGACGAACCGCGGCTCAGAGGAATGGGCGAAGGTTGTTCGCCGCAAAGTGGTGTTAGCTTGTCTGCCTAATATTGTATGCGTAGCTGCGCGCATCTGACAAACAACAAGCGCTCAATCAATGCTTCCGAGTGCAGATGTTGTACTCTCCGATACCCCCGGGTACGGCTCAAGATACATACGTACACCGTATCGAAGAGCTTTTCTAAAGATTCCTATGTGAGGACCCCGATCATCATTTACCAGTCCTTGCCAAGATGAGGGTCCGCGTGGACTCTATTACTTGGGAGGAGTTTGATTTGTGAGGCACTTACCTTGCGAAGGTGACCGCTGCTCTCTCATTTTGTGCAAGGAAGGGCACGATTGGAGGATAGAGAGAGTGTGATGGGCAACGGCGGCCGCTTTCTCGCTGCGCAGCGGAGCAGGAAAAACAACACCACATCCCGTTCGACTGCTGTGGGTATATATATCTCGAATGGGTAGTCTCTCTGTATGTGAATTGTGTATTTATTATTCCTTAATAGAACACCTTTCTCCATTTCTCAAAAATCGAAGACGCCTCGTCCTCAAGACAGCGTATGCATTAGATTAAAAAATAGTGCATGAAGATCTGATCGACAACTGACATTGCTGAGTGCGGCAGAGTATTGAATTGAACGACAATGAACCGCTCTGGCTGTTTCGTACTGACACTATGTAGGGGTTTCCAGCTGAAGTATGCACAGATCCGCAGAGATACATGTTCGATCCGGGTATCATAGCAACAGCGGCGTGTCGCCTGTTGGTAAAGATGTATTTCATTTCAACACAGCAACAAAAAAATATATTATCATCCCGTCAGCATGACCGTGGTAGGCTGCGGGAACACGTGTTGAGATCATACACACACATGGCTCGTATTCGCGCTCTCGCAAATATACTGCCGTTCCCTCAACTTTCCAACCCTCCACTTTCAACCCCACCAGTCACAGCCACTCAACTTCCAACTCCAGATCATGTCTATCTGCTGTTGAAGATAAACGTACATATGAGGCATTCAAACAAATCCCGTCCCAGCAAATATCCCTGACAGGCTATCCCACAAGATGGAAAATGCACGCGTACACTACAAAATGACCGCAAAGGCAGAACCACGTGCGGTCAACAACAGCCACGCAAAAATCTGTCACTACTGCATGCACTCGTCCCTCCTACCCTCGGCGTCTAACCGATTTACATTTAGCTAGCATCACGTCCATCGCTCCTTATAACGCTCATAAAGTCCAAAACCACATATTTTGGAAGGTGAGTGTCTGTTCGAGGCACTCACTACTTCAATACGTCGCCAATCTCCATCACCAGCGTTAAACCTTCCACACAACACAGGCAGATAGAAAGCAATGGGGATCTCAAACGACAGGAGGCACTTCCGTCAACTGAAGCTCCCGTCCGATGTGCCACAACCCTGCTGTGTTCCACTGAGCGGGAGGGATCATGAACTCATTAACACGGGGCGGTCAAAATGATATATACGCAAAAGGAGGCCAAAACACCGATGACGCCCTGCTTCCCCGCCCAATCGTCGTCCTTATCCTGGCCTTGCCCAAAGCCGCCCCCCAAAAAGTGAACCAATGTATCCGTCAACTTCCAAAGTTTTCGCTGAATGTTCCTCCCGTCGATCATATCCCGACAACCAATGCTGCAACAGCCGAGATCATACATACTATTAGACCAATCTCGTCACCCCCCCCCTGTCCAACATAGCAAACAATTGAAACTACCAAGACAAGTCTACCCCCTCCCCCCTTGCTACCCTTGGCACAATCCCACTGACGCAACTTCTCCCGGCGGGACCCTTCTCCCAACAAACAATTCCACTAAAAGTATAGTGCTGCAAACATTCATTCGTGGCGACACATGCAACTAGAAAAGGCAGCCCCAACCCAATACACGATGTTTCCAAACCCGCGAGCCAAGCTCGTCCCTTGTAAGGCCCACCGCCTGCGGGTAAACAGCACCAGCACCAGCACTAGTGGAAGAAGAACAGCAGGAATAGCAACAACAACGACAACAAAACCCTCCGCTGTTCATACCCATGCCACGGCGGGCAACAGACAACAACACCAGTCGTAAGATTACCTCCGTGGGTTTTCAGCACAAACCATCCCAGAAACAAGCGCAAAAGCGAAAGACGAGACCTTTCCACAGCAGCAGAAATTCGTCCTCTACTACTGTTTCCTCCCACCCCTGAACGGCGCGGTCTGCAAGCATCTACTGAGCCTGCCCGGACGCCACGGTTTCGTCCGCTCCGGTGCCCGCTGCCGCACCCCCCGGGGTCATGCAGCTGCGCGCCACGCTCTCGAACACGCGCTCGAGCTCGGGCGCGCAGTGCGTGAAGCTGTGGCTCCAGAAGCTGTAGCGCGGGTTCTTGATGAGCTCAATGAAGGTGATCAGGAGCCCCCACTGATGGCGAGTCGTTCACCAAAATCCGCCCCGTCCACCAGTAAAATATCGTTGGTTAGGTGGAGGCCAGCAGTGCGGCCAGCGGGAGAGCGGGAGCACGCGGAGCGAGAGGGATTTGAGATCAGCTTTGAAAGACTTCCAAGACGGATGATTGGATGCAACGAGACAGACACCACACAAACATCCACACGACCAACAACCGACAAAATACAGCATTACACGGGCGATACAGGCTGGCTAAAAGCACATGTACACACGAGAAACCGAAACACGAATCAATCAATCAAATAATCACCGGGTGGGGGCGGTGCACGATGAGCCTCTCGAGCAGGATGCGGGGTG